CAACAGCCCAGCACGCGCCACCACAACCCCAGTCTCCACCAGCTTCCCCCAGAGGTATTTCGTCCCCTCGAGATAACTCTCCCTCGAACACTCCTCCAACATATAATACCACACCTCCATCGGCACCCCGTCCAACCTCCCTTCTTCCCCCCACCCTTCCTCCCTCCCAGTCTCCAACCCAACCCTCATCATCAAAACCTGAAACGCCTCCTCCGTATACCCCCTCTTTCCCAGTACATGAACCACAGTATCCCACCCCGTCCCACTCATCCACCTCCTTTCCCCCTCCTCTTCCCACCCCACCACCTCCTCCAACGCCTCCAACACCAGCTCCTCCTGCCTCTCCCTCAGTAACCCTAAAATAACATCCTCCCTCACCTCCTTGATCAACTCCTCCCCGTAAACAACCCCTATCCGTCTCAATATCAAGTTCCTAAGCGTGTAATCAGGGTGAATAGCCAGCAATTTAATCGCCGCCCTCCAAAACTCCTTGCTAGGGGCAATACTGGCTTTGTCCATCTCCTTGAGGATGTCCTCGAGCTCCCAGGCTGAACCCCGTTCTGGATCCCAGTTTGCAACAACCAACGCCCGGTAGAGGAGTTCATTCGGGGGTTGGTGACGGTCCGTGACGAGGTAGTGGACTAGTGATCTGATTTTGAGACCCGTGAAGCGTTTGGAGTGTTTGGAGTGGGAAGTCAACAGGCGGCTGAGGGTGAGGAGGAGGGTGGGGGTTGACAAGGAGGCGAGGAGAGATGGGGGGATGGTGTTGTCGGGGAGGGTGAGGATGTCAAGGGAGGGGGTGGTGGTTGCTGGGGTTTCTGGTTGGTCGGTAGTGGCTGTTGTTGTTGTTGTAGTAGTAGTAGTAGTTGGTAAAGATGAGACCTCATGCTGATATTGCTCCTTCAGCAGCTTCCGGTTGGCTTTCTCATGTTGCCATAACCTCTGATTTTTCCTTGATCGAGTCTTTTTCGATCTTTGGGCGAGCTGAGAACCATCGTCAATAACAGGTTGTTGCTGTTGTGATAGCGTCAAGTTTGAAGTAAGCAGTCCATTGCTGGAACCATCTTCTTCATGAGCAGCAGCCGCAGTAGAAGTGAGCCTGCGCGGTACTAACGGCCTCAGCCTCGACGTCTTTTGAAAAAGTGCCGCATCGATTGACGGGCAGAGACACCTCCAAAGGCCATCGACCACTTGGCGGGGAGCTGCCATGTTAAGATGGTCGTGAAATCAAGCTTCTTGGTGGTGGTGGTGACCGTTGATCAGGGTTGAGAGCTCAACTAAACTTTTTGGAGGGGCCAGTGCCAAGACTTGAAGTCAAGGTACGTACCTTCTCACTCAGACGCCAGATCACGTGGGTCCCTCTGTTAGTGTGACAGGCTCTTGTCCAACATGAAAGCTGGCTGTTTATTTTCTTATTTTTTTCTGTTATTATTCTTGATACTCCAGGCCAGTGAGACAAGCAAATCAAACGCATGCTATGCCGCAACAAAGGTATGCTGTTTTCACACCAGCCAAAAGCAACCCTGCCTTCCAGCTCAACACATGACCGGGTATCTTCTTTTGGCTGTTAGAACCTCCGCCTGTCCCCCAGACTCGGCAGCCCCAGAAGAGCACTGGGAACAGCCTGAACGGCAGCCGATAATCCCTGCCTTTCCTCGCCTTGAACCGCCGTAGTAGCATATGAGCCTCCCCATCAAACACATCACTCTGGAAACAACTCCCCCCTCACGCACCCCTATTCCCACCTCTCCCACCCCTCCCACCTCTCCCTCTCCCACCCCTCCCTCTATCACCCCCACCCCTCCCACCATAATCCCCTCTCTGATGTCCTCCCCGTCCCCCTCTATACCCACCCCCACCCGACTGCTGCTGCTCCTTGACAATATCGATAATCTCGTCCGGAACCCGTAGGTATTTAATCTGTCATTCCCATCATTAGCCCCCATCCCCATCCCCATCCCCTCCCCCCAGGGCTCCTACTCACATTATTCCCCTTGACATAAACCTCCGGCAGCCTCACAAACTTATCCCCCTCCTATTCAACCCGTCAGCATTTCATTCATTCCCCTCCCCACCAGTGAATTTAGAGCGCAAAACCCACAGGACTAGTCTGCACCACCTCCCTCAACGTCAAATTCATCCAAGTATCGCACAGCACCAAATGCCCATTCAGCGTCTCCCCGTTCTTGAGCTCGACCAGCATCGGGTGGCCCTGCGCCGCGTTAAGGAGACCAAGAGGCAACTGCAACGCCCCCCCCCCAATCAAAATCAGCAAAATACCCTTTTCCTCAATCCCCCTCTTGACGTACCATCTTTGCCCGCCTATTCTCTCTCCCCTTTTCCTTCTAAAACCCAACCTTTTGCCGCGCGTAGAAATCGTTTTCAATCGAAAAAAAGATGTTCGATTGTCCGGCGTGTCGTGCGGCGGCAAGTGGTGGGTAATTCGTCGTTTCGTTAGGTAAGGTAGGTAAACAAAGTCGCAATGAATAGGTGGTTGGCAGACATCAGACAAACAAGCGCCGCCCAAGAAACACGACCTCAGCGCGTCTCCCTTCCCTAAACCCCGCCCCCCAGCCTTGCGGGGACACTGTAGTGGGGGACCTGAACCGTGCACAGCCGACAATTACCCGACTAAATTTCCCCGCTAGCGCGCGACCGTTGTGGGGGCCTAAACTTTGATGAGACGACATGGCACGAAAAAAAAAGTCCCAGAATGGGAGTCAATAACCATGTGAGGGATGCACTTCCATGAGGGAGACGAAAAACACTGCGAGTCTAGTGACATTGAAAGCACTCTGATATCAAAAACTCAACAACTGAAGTTCTCTGTGGACTTAGAATCAAAAGCAAAGCAAAATCATTTGCTGAACCAGCAAAAGAGTAGGTTTGGACGAGCTGGGAATCGAACCCAGGACCTTTCGCATACAGGTGAGTATGCTAAGCGAACGCTCTACCAACTGAGCCACACGCCCCTGGTTATTTGATGGAGGTTGCACTCAGAAGCAGCCCCTATCATCGAGATCATTCCCTTGACAGCGCACATCTCACTCTAGCAAGGGACTCTCAACCACAGTCTGATGTTCAAGATAAACCCATCTGATATCTCTGTAACCTGACAAAAAACAACCCAACCATTTGAATGATGAATCCGAGATAGGCTATCCCCCCCCCTTTGCGCAACGCAACAAAAACCAAGAGACCACACCAACCCGAACAGCATCCGTTACAGTAATCCATTCCGTCATGCATTCCCAAATCCTTTGACACGTTACCCACCACAGCCTGAGAGACCAGCAAACACGCCCGTTTTAGCTTCTTTCCACATTGTTCATTCTGCCAGCAGGTTCGTCATGGCGTTAAATGGCGCTCTCTCGGCTCTTGCGGTAACTCGCCTGCGGAGCAGCTGGAGTCAGTATACGCACTTCTTCTCTCTCTCTACTGGAAAGAATAAGCCGAAGCACGACTTGCCTCCTGTTCAACTTGCAGACCGTCAATGACAGGGGCAAGTTCACTGAGAATCTCGTGGGCCTTCTTGTGGAACTCAATCTGAGCAGCAAGGAGCTCGGCCAGGTTGCGCAGGGGTTCGGGGGTATCGACAACCTGTTTGTGGGTTAGGACAATCAGCGCTTCGATCCTCGGCCTCTATGGGTGACAAGAATACTCACGTTCTTCATGACACCAACAGCCTCCTCGGTCTGTGTGACAAACTCATCCTCAGCCTTCTCAATTTCCTCTTGGGCCTCAGGGCTGAGCTCCTGCTCGTCGTGCTGGCCGCTAGGGGCAGCTCCACCAAGCTTCCAGGTGGTGCCCTTGACACGGGCCTTGACAGCATCCAAAGTCAACCTGGCCTTCTCGACCGCCTTGCGGGCGCGGGTCGCAAAGGTGATGTTGGTGTTCAGGGTGGTGTTCCACCCAGCCAAGAAGCGGCTTTGAACCTGGGCGTCCTGGGCGAGGCGGGCCTCTCCAACACGCTCCATGGCGAGCGCATACTTCTCGAGCGCAGTAGCAAGAGGATCCTCACCGGAGGAGGTGTGTTGCTGGTGGAGAGCCTGGGAGCTGGCCAACGAAGCGCGGGCGATAGCATGATGGAAGGTCTTGGGTTGAGGCTTAGCCGAAGGAGGGGCGGTCAGGGCAGCCTGGGCTTCGGCGGGAGAGGTAGCGCTCGACAACAGAGTAACCTTCTCGGAGACGGTGCGACCAAGGTCCTGGAAGGTCTCCTTGATATTAGGGGGGTAGTCGTAGGCCTCGTTGGAGTATTGGGAGCTATCCAATGATGGAGGGGTCAGATGGTGCCACCGAAACAACGAGCTCCGAGCTCAGAGAGCATCCATGTCACAAACTTACGTCACAGCCAGCATCTTCTGGTGGACAGCCTTGAGCGCATCCACGCGCTTCTCAAGGTCGATGTAGTCGGGTGGGAGTTCGGTCTGCAAAGCCAACATGGTCAACCACTTGTTCCCTCCCTTGTCGCCAAGCAAGCCCAACGCCGCCAGGAAGCTATCAATGCGCACCTTGTCCTCAGCCTGACCCAGCTGCTCCTTGGTGTACTGGAAGGTGCGTGAGGCAAAGGGGGTGATCTGACCACCCAAAGAGCTGTAGAAATGCCATTGTCAGCGGTTGGCTGTTCGAATTTCCATTGTTCTGGCGGCCCGAGCTCGAGGTTTATCAAAACAATCCAGGGCGTCGAGAGAGGGGTTGTCCGTACGTGAGACTCTTCTGGAAACCCTTGAAAGCGTCCATCTTGTCGGGTTTTGGGGTGCTGTATTGCAGTGTTCAGGGGACGTGCTTCTCGACGGCGGACTCAACGGGCGGTGACCGTAGCTTTGCGAAAAGGAGGATGCGAGGTTGACGTTGACACCAAAGCTTTGTGTCAAGTGGGCGTTGTTTAGGGGACAAGGCGCCGATCCCTAGCTGCTGACGCCCCGCTAAACATTCCGCGTTGCAGCTGTCAACCCTGAATTTCATTGGCCGCGTCATGCTCTGTGCGTCGCAGCCGTGATTCTTTCAGGCAGCCAAGCATAAGGTCCAAGCATGTGCTTCACTTTTTATCTTTGCGTAACCTCAAGCATCATCATGAGCATAAAAGGTCGCCCTATGATCGGTGATGGCTCAACAACAAGCAATCGATATATATGTATATAAATGACAACTGATTTGTGTATCCTCGGCAGCATGAAGTCCATGGTAAATACTCTCCACTTGAAACACCGGCATCGATATACTCGAAATGCAGTTGTTGAAGTATGGTATGCTAGATAAGTTCATATCATTCTCCATATGTAAACGTCACCTTTCAATCCGCCGCCTTCGAATCAGCCCAACTCGGCACAACCCCCCTACAAACATCCTCATAGTCCTCCATGACCTGATCCTTCACCGCGGCCTCCGGCGTCGTCCAAAACATCGCCCAGTTACTCCCGGGCAACTTTCTCACCCCCCTGCTCCTCTCAAAATACCACTTATTCACTGGGTTATCCTTCCTGCTCCTCCAGCACACCCCATTCGGGAAACAATCCCTCACCATGGCATTGAACACAATATCCGCCACACCTCCCGCCCCTTGACTCTTCTTCAACACGGCAAACTTATCCAGGTAGGGCACTAATCTACCCGAGTTGTACGCTGTCTCCTCGTCAAGCCCGAATGGTCGTTCCCAAGTGAGGATCGCACCGCCTTCGTACTCGCCGGCGATGATGATACCTGCGAGGGAGTCTTGGACTCGGTTGAGGTAGTGCTCTGCGTCCAGCTTGCGGCCGAAGGAGTCGTTGATGAGGTGGATGAGTCGGGGGAGGTCGACGCACGTATCTGTTAGTTTCAGGCGGGGGGTGCCCGGTTTAGGTGGTTGCCAGGACCGTGTGCGGGTGTCGGGGAAGATGGTAACAGGGAGGCCTTTCTTCGCCAGGGTTGTGGTGGGCATTCGGGATGACCTTTGGTATGTACCATTTGTCGTTGATTTGATCCGGCCGATGGGTAGAGACGCCGAGTATATCGGCCGGTCGGTGAGAAGGTTGTGAATGATGGGATTCTGCCATCTTCGTGTTTTGACTTCACCTGCCATAGCCTCCTCGGCGTCTCTTCTGATATCATATGCTTGATTCGACTGTAGATTTGCGGCTTCGATTGGGCTGGTTATGACCGCGGAAGCTGTCGAGGGCAGGATTGCTAGTATGTTCTTGACGAGCTCTAGGTTTTCGATGTGTGAAGCTTTCGGGTTGCCTGAGATACCAGGTATTGGGCTCCCGTTATCTTGTGGTTCCGCTGCACTCAGGGTCGCCTTGATGCTGTTGAACTGCTCTTCGAGATTGATAAATACCCGCGCGCCATCGCCCAGGTTCCTAGCAGGAATTCCGCCAAAGGGGTCGATGATGATCACCCTGTCTACCACCGCGGTCCGGGTTTGATTTTGGCCAGCATTGACCTGAAGTCCAGCAAAGTATTTTGCCAAAGCAAAGATCACTTCATTTGCGTCAGCCGCCGTGTGCTCTAGAGTCTCTTCGACCACTGCCCGAGAGGGGACCACTAGGATATGGCCATGCCTGAGCGGCGCGGTGAATGCCTCCCCAAAGCCAACGGAGAGCTTAGTATGACCAAGAGACGAAGCGCTTGGTGGAGTTGTACTCCGTTTCCAGATGCCTCCATCAACAAGTTCCGCGCCTGGTGTGCCATACTTTTGAATGGCTTTCTGAAGTCGGTCTGTTTGTTGTGTCACCACATCTTTCCAATCCAGAACTGAGCTTTTCTCTGCGCTGCATTCGAGAACAATAACACTTCGAAGACCCAGATCTCGCAGCCGGGTGAGCGTCTTAGCGACGCCACCCAGTAAAGTGTCGTCCCACGTCTGAGGCTCGCGAAGCTTCACAATCGCCACACGTGGTACTTCATCGGCCTCTAGAGATTCCACTGGAACGGAGCCTTGGACGAAAAATGACACATCCTTGGCTTCTGGGATTGCTTTGTCGCTCACAAGGGCGGTAGAAGCTGGTGATTCCTTTGGCACCGCTTTGGCTTTCGATGACCCATAGGTCTGAAGGTATGCCTTTGCATCCCGCTTGGTCGCCGACGACTCCAGTACTGAAATCAAAAACTCCCTGTCTGACTCTCTCTTCTGCTTTGCTTCGGCAGCAGAAGGGTGGCTTCGGCTGGGCTTTGCGCCATTCTCAGCCGAGGAGAAGTGACGTCGCTGAGACACTGATGTCACTGACGTTATGGTGGTGTGATTTGGCCGTTGCTGGTCACGACAGATTGAGGCCTAAAAGCGCTCAGATTAATACCAAACTTCAGAATATGACTGATCGGAAAATGTAGCGATATATGCGCCAAGATATATCTCACCTGAACTACCGAGGTCGCCTTCTTCCACGCACCGTTGCTTCTCGTGAGCATAGCTGCGACCAGTGGCATCGGGCGGGGCGGTTTGAGTCACAAAAGCTGTGATATAAATTATTTCGAAGAACGTACGGGCGGCCAGAAATGGATAATTCAATCCAGCACGCCCTCCTCATACAACCTGCATCCGCTTTGGTGTGGTGAGAATCCCTCGAAAAAGATGAAAGAAAAGGAAAGACGGAAGGGTCCAACCTCGGGACTCCATCTGACCACGCAACGCAGCAAAGCCCCGAACACTAAAACCCCATGTCGGTGAGAATTATCAGATCATCAGATAAGACACCCCGCAAAAAGGGGAAAAGGATGTTCCTTGGCAGGTTCATCAAAGACCCAGAGCATATCTGGTAGCCGTAACCATGTATTCTAATTTGGCTGGTGTTTCATTCCGATGATTGGTCTT